GGACCACAGGGATTTTTAAACCAATTCCTTATGCCTCCATGTATCCTAGCAACCCCTCTCCGAGGTTACAGATGCAATGCCTCACCCACCTGTTGCACAGCCAGCCTAAGGCAAGTTACACATGGCTTTCTTCCCAGCTCATCCCGATTAAGGAATGCGGGAATCTGCCACAAGCAGCCGGTGGGTGTCACACACAGGCACCTCTGGACACCAGGACTGGCTCCTGCATGTCCTCTGAGGAAAGAGCTTTGTGATCAAGGCAAGAAAAAGGGGCTGGCCTTCCTCCCTGCCACAAAAATGTGCCATCCCTGCCTGATGTTACTCAGGTCCTGCGCAGACATCCAAGCAAGATTTACAAAAGAATTTTAGGTCCAAAAAAGGCACAGCAAACAAAACTTGACTCCTCCCACACCCTTCCTTCAAACCTGACTGAGCTGCATTGTAATTACAGTAAATGAGTTTGTTAAAGGAAAAAAGACAAAAAACTGCTCGAAAAGCAACCTTTTCAAGGAATGATGCTACTCCAAAGTATCTTTTAGCATTTTCTATTTCCTGTGAGGCAGGGGGTGGGGGATACTACAACCATCAAACATTAAAATTTTGCTCTGCAGAAAAATAAAAACCAAATTTAATAAAATATTAAAAGGAAGAAAATAAATTATAAACATCTGTTGAAGGGGAAATTTGCAATTTTGCAAAATTTACTTTCTACACCTGTGATAATGGTCCTTTCTTTATGATTCTCCTGCTCATCAAATTAGATTTCCTTTATTTGGCTATCACTGATCAAATCATTCAACCTGCAGTATCTATTTCTCACGTGAACCTCAGTTATCTTATCATTCAATTTATCTGCATTCCTGAAAAGCAAAGAATGAAAACCCCTAAATCTTCTACTGTGGGTTTGTTTCTTTTTTGTGTTACTGCACTTATCGCTGCTAAATCCACCTCATTCTAGTATATCCAAAAAATTCAAGGGATGCACAGAACCTTCTGTCCCCAAGGCCAATAGGGAAGATGAGTTTGTCACTGCTCAAAGACACATAACTTGCTGTAGAGCTCTCTTATTCATCTTCACAAAGGAAAATAAGGGATACTTTTGTCCTAGGTTGTAAGATAAGAGGCTGTGAATTGTATTTGCCATCTGTTAGAGGTGGGGCAGTTCTCTTCTGTTCATTGGGCAGTTTTCTTTATCTCTTCCAAGATCCATCCTCCTTCCAGGATATCTCTTCTGTTCATGGCCACTGAGTGTCCCTGCACAGCTGATAAAATTCCATCATCCCATTGGGAGATGCTCTGCCCAGGGGAGAAGCCAAGCATTCCTACCTGGATACAATCTGACACTGGGAACACCACAGCAGCCTTTGCCCACTGCATTCCCAGAGGAGCAGCTTTCTTCTGCACTGCATTCCCAGGGGAAGGACCAGGCCCATCTACAGCACCCCTGGAGCTTCAGAGGAAAGCTCCACCCTTGTCCAGGATCCCTGTTCCAGCAGAACCACAGCTGGCACTGCAGGAGGGCTGAGCCATCATGGAATGGGACTGCTGCCAACACCCTGACACACAGGGGGTCAGGGCCTATTCTGACTCGGGCAGTGATGTTTTGTATCACTGCAGTTTTTATTTTATTTTTATTTTCTTCCCTAATAAAGAACTGTTATTCCTATTCCCATATCTTTGCCTGAGAGCCCCTTAATTTCAAATCATAACTGATAGGGAGGGGATTTATGTTCTCTGTTTCAGGGGAGGCTCCTGCCTTCCTTAGCAGACACCTGTCTTTTCAAACCAAGACACTTCCTAAATGGTTCTGGCACTTGTGAGTCATCCCTCTTTCCCCTCTCAGGCAGTAATGAGATGCAGCCATCAGGTTCCCTCTGTTTGGAGTGCTCCAAACGTGAGCACCAATGGTGCCCTTTCCCTGGGTCAGCTGAGGCTGAGTGCCTGGTGGCCTGCAGTGGCTCCCGGGCAATGGCTGGAAGAAGCTGGCACACCTTCCCCCTCTGCATCACCTACTCTGCTCATCTCAGGCTGAAGATCACAGCCAGGATGTCAAGCCCTCCTTTTCATTGTGAGGATATTTGGCAGCTGAATCTGCACACTGAGATGAGTCCAGCTGAGATGGCAGCAGCCACTTCATTAGTTCAGTGTCAGTTCAGTTTTGACACATTTGTGGAACCATTCACTAAGTTTTTGTAACAAGTGAGAACAGGATTTTTATAGCTAAGATTTTTGCAAGTGTCACATGCATTTTAGGACATAGTCCTGGGATGAGCTATACAAACAAAACTCCCTTGTGGTTTGACAGACATCATGAGTGAGAATTGGATCATGTTTTCTGTGTGAGATAAAACTAACTTCCTTCACAGCTGTCATTTTTTTATAGTGCAAGGGAGCAAATTCAAGCATTTAAAGTTACATTTAAATATGAAAACTTGATAGACATATCTGGCAATAAAAACACAGCTGTTAACAACACATAGAAAATATTGCAGTAGTACAGCACAGGAGGCTGAAACTCCATGTCTGAGGAGAAGCTGCAGGTGAGAGCAGCTTCCTCATTTATTTAACACAGGGAGTAGGGCTTGTGTTTGTACACTGTACAGCACTAGGCAGAAATACCCTCAGGAGCCTATCATCCAGCACTGCACGAATAAAAACAGAATTTCCCAGACTCTCGTGAGCAAGGCATAAGCCCTGGAATGACAATGCTTCACATGCAAGACAAGAGCCATGTAATATTTTACTCAAGTGGAAGAGATGCACGATTCAAAGCCAGTCTCTTCAAATCTGCAGTGGACTTGAAGAATGTGAGCCCATGGGGGCTGCTTCCTCTTCAGTTTAGCAGCTCACCCGTGGTTTCTGGGGTAAAACTAAAGAATAGGTTCAGATACTGCTGATCCATCACTGCCTTGCAACACCACCAACTCCCACATCCACCAGTTATATTTATGCAGCTACTAGCGCTAAGGATGTGTCAGGAAAATTAATGAAGGATGAACATGCTCTGGGAAGAGCATGCGCAACAAGAGGCGGGTTGTGGGTTAAAATAACCCAGTGCATCTTCACCAGTGCACAAAATGGTCAGAGAACAGCTGCTGGAGAGACTCAGGAGGCCTGCCATGGTGCCTAGAAAACATTAAGAGTATTTTCAAGCACACACTGGCTCACATTCAGCACCCAGAAGCTATTTTAAGTGCTCCATGGAGACAAGCTGGTGTTATTAGGGCACTTTTCTTCCAGAAGACAACAATTCATTTCAAGTCAAATAATCCCATCAGAGGTCTTTGTAAACACCTAAATCAGAAGAAGTGACAGTGATAATCTCATGTTGGGAGAGATTCACAGGCTGAGCTAAGGCCAGTTTTCTTAAGACACCTCAAAAGAAAATGAAACCACCTGCTGGGCAGTTTTGGTGCTGTGTCTGTCATGTCACAGCAGCTCCCAGAGGACATCTCTGGAGTCTGAGGAACTGCCAAATAGCACAGGGAAGCTGGTTCAAGACCAAAATCGGAGCAGAAGCCTACAAGATAAGTTTTTTTTACCCTACTAAGCAGCAAAGCCATGCCTAAACGAGCCCTAGGAGTAAAACTCACCTGGCAGAACCACCACAGACCCAAGAGGAAAGACTTCCATCATTTTCTGGCCTTGGCCTCACCTCACCTCTCTGTCTCAGTTTTACCCAGCCTAGTGTCTTTACAAGGCATTTGGGGACTCAAAGACCAGAAAACATATACAAAGAAAGAGATAATGCTCTTATCATCCAATTCTGTGGCTCTGTATGATGTGAAGGCATAGACAGTCACAATGAAATCCCTCTATCAGAAAGGTGGGAAGAAATATGGGAACAGAAGAGGAAGAAATTGGATTATGACAGTGACAGAGTGAAGAGCAGTAGATGGCAGGGATTTAGAGACATTTGGGAAGCACTCTGATATTGGCATGATGGTCTCAGTAAAGAAAATTGTCAAAAATATGACCAGAGGAAAGAGCCTAATCAGAGTCATCCAAAATTGCTTTATTTTGTAAAATATTGCAGACCTTCTTTTCCCTCCTGTTTTTAAAAGCCTTGCTGTACAGCCTGGTGAGGCTGAACAGGGAACTGTAAGCACTCGTGGTACTCTGAATACTGACAGACAAAAGAAGCAGAGAGGGAAGGGTGCCTAAATATAGCTCAGAAGGCTCCCACCTCTCCATACTGAGGCTTAAGCTCCACAGCCAGCTCAGGTCAGTGATTCTGAGTCAGCTTTCAGCCACTAGCAGATACAAGACCACATTAAAATTACCAAAGTTTAGGGTAGACATTATCATAGTTGATGAAGAACCAGGTATAAATAAAGTATTTCCAGTGAATTCCCTAAGAAGAGCCACTGCCTGCTCTTTATTAAGTTACAGTCCATTGACATTTAGCAAGTTTTAATCTCCCAAACCACTGACTCTGGATCCTCAGATGAAGGAAATGAATGTTGATCTACCCCACAGCATGATCCAGCCCTGAATTTACAGGTAAACATGAAGCTGTGGACTTTGCTTACATTTTTATCTCAAAAAAAAAAAAAAAAAAAGGCACTTTTATCACTATATGTAATGCACTGTTTTTTCTTAGAAGAGGGAGTTATACAATTAAATGAACCAAAGATACAGAAGCACAGGGGATGCTATAAGCTAAGGTAACCTGGCAGATAATACTCAGCACCTGAAGGAGCTCATGTGCAATAATCAAGGATCACCAACATATTCATGTTATCAACGCGCAGGAAAAAGTTCACATACTCTCTCAAAGACTGTTTTTGTTTCAAATATGCTCTTGCCATGACTTTCATGGATCATTATGGAGAGCAGTATTTTTGTGACCCCAAAAAAAGAACAAGCACACAACTGCCACGCTCCTGTGGTACTTCAGTCTCCTGCAGAATGCAAGTGACTGATGGCACTGAGGAAATACTCAACAGGCTCATATTTTTCCTTACAACTAATCCACCACATTTCCAAATTTCACTTACCTGTCAGGTTCCTCAAGCCAAGTTCCCTGAGTCCAAAGTTGCCATCCTTCCTGTAGTTAAGGAATATGGCCAGAGCGTATCGCTCCTCGTAGAGCTTGGTGCCACGAACGATGCGCAGGTTCTCCAGGGGCAGGTACTCAAACTGGTTCAAAGCCACCAACACATAGCCCGTGACTTCTCGGATAGACTGAAAGGCAGAAATGAAACAGACACATCAGACATGGCCCATCTTTAATTGTCCTGAATTTCCCAGACAGTGGATGCTTTAGGACAAGATGCTGCTATCTAAGACAAAAGAAACCACACCATCTGGAAAACAAATTCTGTTTCAACTTAATGATTTCAAGCACATTCCTGTTTTAATTTTAGTGAGTTTACTGGAAATAGTTGTTAGAAGGTAGAAAATAAAGAGGCAGCCATGTTTATCAGTTTATTGAAACTTGAACAGAAACTCACTGTAAGGTGTTAAGGATTCACAAAAGGATGACTTTGCACAACTCCAAGCAGAGAGCAGGTCAAAGGCCTCTGCAGTACATGTACAGAATCCACTGGGGCAATGCCACAGTTCAGATGAGATTGTCTGTCTGCAAATAACTCTGTATTGTACAGTGTATTTCAGGGTGGGACTGAAGGGACATAACATGGAAAACACCTCTGGAAGAGCTCACCATCAAACAGGAACAGATGGGAGACAGGGGGGCTGGTTTGGAAGAGAAAACAAAGATAACACACATCTGTACTAACACCCATTTTGTGTACTTTCGGATGGAACTGATCACTGAACATTTGCCAAGATTCATCTCCAAGTTTCTTCTGGCAGTGCTGGAACCATCCACACCCATATATCCCAGTCTTGGATCAAAACTGCAATCCAAACCTTTAGCAAAATGATTGCTGCACCTTTGAGTTGGCTGAAATCTTTGCTGGCTCTAGATGAACTGCTCAATAACCCTCCTGCTCATATTCAGGAATTGATTGCCTGGGCTGGAAAGTGAAAAAAACACCCCAAAACCCAATAACTAGAAAAACTTTTTCAAAGTCCAAAAGTTTAACAGAACTAAGATGTTAGGAAAAAAAAAATACAGAACACCCAAACCCAGAGAAATGTACTCCCTTAGAAAATAAAGTTCATTCTAAGGAATTGAAAGAAATGGCCGAGAAATACACAAATGCCTTTGAAAAATACCATTTCAACACACACAATGACCCCACCATCCTCAGCAGGACTTGGCACAGGCTGAAGGATGCTCCTAGACAGATCCTGGAAACAGAACCTCCATGTTGGAGAGGGTCTCTTGAGTCTGTTTTCAAAGCTCACCTCACCCCGTGCCTGCAACCACAGTACAGAGTCGTGTGTTTGTGTGCGTGTGCATATTTTAACGGATGGAAATTGATACCACTACTTGTGTGCTTAAGTGGCTGCACGCACTTCTCCCTTCCCTGTGGCAAAGTCAATACCTTCAACAAAACACTGCAAGAAAAATTCTGCTCAGGGTAACGTGCCCAGACTACAACCAACGTGAGGGGGACTCCAGTCAATACTGTAATGAAAACAACCTGACAAGCAACAGCAGGCAGAGAATTCAACCTGTCGTGTATGTATCATTAATAAAGAAAGGCAGCAATGGATTTGCAGCACCAAGGACAGGATCTTGCTTTGCTGCTTCAGCGCTTTGCCATGATTTCACATTTAAGTGTGCACAAGCCTTTTAATTAGGCTTATAAAAGCCTGCAAAGTTATTAATACGTGTGGCAGTGTACATAAGGAATGATTTCTAGGCCACGAAATCTAGGCACTAGCTGTCCTTCTGAAGTCAAGCATTTGTGCTCAGCTGAAGCTGCTGAAAAAACCATTTCCAGACTCGCTTGGCATCTAAACAAAGCCCACTGTCCTGACAGGACTCTGATGAGAACCCAGTCAGTGGAGGTAGGTTGAGAAGTAGGGTTCAGCAGCTAAGTATTAAATGTAGAGCTGCATTATACCCTGGGACACTGATTCCATTATAATCAGAAGCTTTACAGCACTTTCATGATAGCTCTTTGCCTTCAGACATTTGAGCTTAGCCAGTTTGGTCAGGAATTTGCTTTTCATCATATGCAAAAATTTCTTTAAGCTGCCTTTTTTAGCATCTCCTCAGAATTCAGGAAATACTTAAATTACACTCACGGCTTAAGTTTCTCCATTGATATTCTAGGGATACTGTGATTGCTCTAATTAATTTAAATGGATGTTTAACTTGGAATTGAGTGGAAAAAATTAAAAGCAGTTCCAAAATTGCATCTGAACAGGTCCTCCCTGCCAATTGTTGTCACTTATAACCACATTTTCTATTTTTAGGGTATGTCTTACTGCCAAACAGCAATTCCACCTGAAAGGGCTGCAATTCAGCACAGGATTGAAATGCCACACACACACAGAGCAGCAAATCTTCATTCCAAACTTGGGGGGGGGGGGGAAAAGCCCCCCAAAAAAAGCCCAAAACAAAACAATAGCCCACCAGAGAAAATGACAAAGTCCTGTTGCTGATAATTGTGAACTGTCTCTAGAAGCCATGCACTTGGTTTGGCTTAACCAGCTGAAATGCCAAAGTATGGCAAGTATTTTGACAAACCAGAAGGTTCTTTGCAGTCCCATGGCTTCCACCATACTGTAACATGCATTTATTTGCTGGAGACACTGCCATGTTCATGCTTGCAACACAAAATTATGAAAATAAATCCAAAAGAGTTTTTAATTTCCTAGGAAACAACCACTTGACCAACCAAATCTAGCAGTCTGATACATTAAGATGGGGTTTCATTTTGGGTTTAAAATCAAATAGGAATGAAAAATGCAGAATAATAACCTGCTTTGCAGGATGGTTTCTGACTGGTCCATCTTGAAAAAAAGTACTGGGAAGGCAGAAGGCATCCCAGGTTTTGGCCACTCCTGGCCAACACTGTCACTTGGCCAGGCACTGCAAGTTTTAACATGACTGTCACTGAAAATGGACACCTGCCCACTTGGAGCTCACTGCCAGCCCTGCTGGAGTCACTGCAAAGATGCCTGTTGGCTTCCATACTGACTCACCAATCCTCATGCCACATCTCCTCCCCTGCACCTCGTGCCAAGGTCAGGCACGATTTGAACCTCCCATCCCTTGAACTCAAGGCTGGACATTTTCCTGGTCAGGTATCCTGGACTCAGCTATCCTAATGCTCTGTTTGAGCTGCTTTGCTCTAGTTTCCATCTGTGTTCCCAAAAAGATGGAGTGGCTCACAACACTGAGTGCCATCACCCAGTCTGATTCTCTTGCTAGGGCTTGCAGGCACTTGCAAAAACGTATTTCCCCATGAGTCTGTCCCTCAGGAAACACAAAAAGGGAAATGACTGTTCAGCATCAGCCCCTGGGTAAGGACAAGCTTCCAGCAGAAACAAAAGGAGCATCAGGGGGAAAAAGTATTAATCCTTGACCATCACAGTTGAAACAGCCACAATGCACAGAGTATCACCACACAATTTCACAAAGCTTCAACCCATACACAGTAACACCTCACCACTTCAGAAGACTGCAAGCATCTGCCCTTGTTGTTCTTCAGCCCAGCCTTTTATCCCCTCCTGTTGATGCACGGCACCTGTGTGCCCTCTGCTCCCTTTGGTGGTTGCTCAGTGTCCCTGGGCACTCCATGGCTCGTTACCTTCAATGGCATTCACCTGTCCTGCACAGCTGTAGCCCATTGGGGATGAGGCTGGGCCCCACTCCCAATCACCACAAACTGTGTGCCTACACTTCAAATATCTAATACCTCATGAGCTGTTTAAAAAACACATGAAACCACAGGGTTCTGATATATTTAACAGGAAAAAAACACTTTGTCACCATTTTCAGGCAGGAGATAAGCACTTGTACTCCACAGTTTGCTGTTCCTGTGTCCAGCAGTGTCCTGCACCCCAGGAACAGCCATGTCAGTCTATAAACCAGTCTCCTAACAGACTCTACATAAAACATAGCCAATTTTTTGGTTTTTAAACCTAAAAATAGGTACCCAGAGATAAGAACAGAGCCAGTGAAGGTACTGCCCTCCCCAGAGGTCTGCCCCAAGATGGACAGCCCCGGAGAGGGTGAGGAAGAAACTCAAAATGACACCAAAAGCAAAAGGGTTCTTTTCAGAGATTCTTTTTCAGGTGATGAACTGTGAAAATGAGCTCTAGACAGCCCATTCCCTTAATTACAACTAATACTAGCTGAGCACAGATGAAGCACTTGAAGCTCCCAACAGCAAAACCAGAATTATCCTGTCAGCTGGGAGTAAATGAGAGTAAAATTGTGCCCTGCCATCTTAAATCGTCCTTTGGTTCGAATCAAGTGAATCTGAGTGAAGCAGAGCAAAATAACAGCGAAAGCTTCATCATTCCACCCAGAACAACAGATCAATGAATGATTAGGGAAGCTGATGTTTCTTATAAACACTATCAAGGCTTCTTAACATCCATCAGGAAGGCTGGGCTGTGGCACAGGCACCAGAGAACTCTATTGTGGGGTTTGTTTCAGCTGCAGACACGTTTATCCAGTGGCTGAACCTGATCTGGTAATGTCCCTGCTGCCTCAGCTGATCACACACTGGTCCCAACCATGGAGTCAGAGAAACAAAATCCTGCCACAGGGGTCAACTTACACCTGTGGGACCACTGAAAATTAATTCTCTTTTAGGGTGTTTTTCCCCTTTTCCATAAAAGCTAACAACATTTTGATCTACTTCAATCTCACTTGAAAGCACCAGTAAACACAAGTGCAGGAGGGGAGGATCACGTGAAACACAAGTGTGTTGAGGAATGGCTGAGGGAGTTGGGGTTGTTCAGCCTGGAGAAAAGGAGATTCAGGGGTGCCCTCATCACTCTCTACAGCTCCCTGAAAGGTGGCTGTGCTCAGCTGGGGTCGGTCTCTTTCTCCAGGCAGCACTGACAGAACCAGAGGACACAGTCTCAAGCTGCACCAAGGGAAATAGAGGTTGGATATCAGAAAAAAGTTTTTCACTGAAAGAGTGATAAAGTTCTGGAATGGTCTGCCCAGGGAGGTGGTGGAGTCACCATCCCTGGATGTGTTTAAAAAACACTGGATGTGGCACTGGGTGCCAGGATTTAGTTGAGGTGTCAAGGAACAGGTTGGACTTGATGATCTTGAAGGTCTAGTCCAAACTTGTGATTCT